AACATTGAACTCATCCAACAACACTATAACTCATGCCTCCATACAGCTTATCTAACACACATATCTTCTCCATAAGTCCCATCACAGCTTTCTTGCACTGAGAAACACTAGACAATACTTTCGCACTACAATTGGCAACCATTTTATATTGCAAAGTCATCACCACAAAGCACAAAATGTGGAAAAAACATCACAAGAAATAGACCGTGAAAAGAGCAATTGTTCAACTTCAACTGAGAGCGTGCACTTCCGGTGACTCAAATATTTTGCTGCTGTGTGCACATGCATGTCTGCAAATCACTGCGAGACCACTGTGAGGGTTGATTTTGGAGTTACAAATAAATGTTAGCCAGTAGGTGAATTCACAAATACAGAATCCACAAAGAATGAGGATCAACCGTATTGAGCATTTGAAAAACTAAAATGAATTCCATTTGCCTAGATAAGAGTTTCAGGAGGGAAGCGGCAGGACAAGAAGTTTGGAGACTTATACTCGTGCCAGAAAAGGCAGGATCTGGTAAGGCCTGTTAAGAAGTTACTCATTTTTCTAATAATGAGGCCCCATCACTAAAACTTTTGAATGGAAGAATGTCATAATTAGATTTGTGTTTTATAAAGAGCACTGGCTTATAAAGAACACTAGAATAGAAGCAACCCCTAGAATGGTGTCTTGTACATGGTGCACACTCAATATTTACTGAATAAATTCCATATTTACTGAATGCAATATAGAGATCAGTTTTGCTGGGGCTGGAGGCAAGGCTGGAGGTAGGGAAACTTTAAGATGCTACTGCTATTCAGTATTGTAGTTGAGGTTCTGGCCAGGGCAGTTAGGGAAAAAAAAATGAAATAAAAGGCATTCAGATTGGGAAAGAAGTAAAACTATGTCTATTTGAAGATGACATGATATTATACATAGAAATTCCTAAAGATTCCAGTCAAAACTATCAGAATAATCAATTTCAGCAAGGTTTTAGAATACAAGATGGGTATACAAAAACCAATTGTTTTTCTATACAGGAGCAATGAGCAAACCAAAAATAAAATTAAGAAAACAACTCTATTTACAGTAGAATAAAAAATAAAATACTTAGGCGTAAACTTAACCAAAAAAGCACAAAATGTATATGCTGAAAACTATAAAACTGTTGGAAAAAAATTGAAGACCTAAATAAGTCGGAAGACATCATATTCATAGATTAAAAGACAATACTAAGATTGCAATCATCCCCAAATTGATCTGTAGATTCAACATAATCCCTATGAAAATTGCTACTGTTTGTTATTGTTGAGAAATTGAGGCTGATGCTATAATTCATATGAAAATTATTTGACCCAGAATAGTCCAGACAATCTTGAGAAAGATCAAATTTGGAGGGCACACAGTTCCTGGTTTGAAAACTTACTGTCAAGCTACAATAACCAAGAGAGTATGGTAGTGGCATAAATACAGACATAAAGACCAAAGGAATAGAACTGGGAGTCCAGAAATAGACCCTCACATTTGGGGCTGGTTGGTTTTCAACAAGGGTGCCAAGACAAGTTGTTTTTTTTCTAGGGGGTGCTGAAAATGCTTTGGGCTTAAATAGTGGTTATGGTGAAAATACTAAAAGCCTCTGCAATGTACACTTTAAAAGGGTAGATTTTATGACATGTGAATTTTATCTAAAACTCTTTTTTTAAGAATTCTGTAGGATTTCCAGTTCTGATCGTGATACAGTAACTGCTAAGAGAATCATCCTCCCACTGTTAATCAACACAAACATGGATAAAACTTAAAATAGACTTTTAAAGCCTCGGGTAGCAAGTGGTAAACAACTGTCACTTTTGAGAGAATGGAAAAGCATGAGATGAGCCTTATCTTTTCTGAACTTGAGCACATAAAATTGAAGCCCAAGTAGAAATAGTAACTTGGTGTAGCTGAGGAGGCAATTGCCTGATTTCAGAGGTGTAGAAGAAGGTAAAATTTGAGGGGCAGGTTCCCAGAATTGAGGGAGTTACTCAGATGAGTGGGGATAAGTAAGCATGGGGGTTCCATTGCTTCCTAGGACTTGGCAAGCAGCAGAGAACAGCTCCTGTGAGGGAGAGCAGTGATGAATATTTCAAAGTTTTCTCTGTGTTAGGAGAGTGGAGGGAACGAGGAAGAAAGGAGGAAAATGAGGTGAAGAATAGAACATACAAATGGATATATTACATAGCCACAGTGACACTAACCATGGCAAGCTTTGATTTTTCAAGTGATTAAACAAAATCAAAAATGTCTTAAATAGGGATGCCTGGGTGGCTCATTTGGTTAAGCGGCTGCCTTCGGCTCAGATCATGATCCCAGGGTCCTGGGATCGAGTCCCACATGGGGCTCCCTGCTCAGCGGGGAGCCTGCTTCTCCCTCTGCCTGCTGCTCTCCTGCTTGTGCTCTGTCTCTCTCTCTCTCTCTGACAAATAAATAAATAAAAATCTTTAAAGAAAATGTCTTAAATAATTATTGTTACTGACAATGTCAATCCATAAAAATTTAAGAAAAGTAAAAATAAAACCTGTTAAGTAAATATCTACTAAGTTTCGTATCCAAAAGACCTATTAATTGCAAAGAACACCACCGTAGACTGATGATAATAAGGAAGGTAAAGTCTAAGAATTTAGTGGAATTTATTTAATTTGACAGATTCTTTTTTTGGTGGGATGATGGATTGTGAAAGGAAGAGTGATAAGGAGAAGGGAGAGAAATTCTAAGATAGTTTATACACAATAAATTATTCTCTAAAACAAAACTCTTCCAGAAATATGTTTTTCTGACAAGATCACTCCCATTAGTCCATGCAGGTAGGTGGAATCCTTGGTTTAGAGTCAAAGTAGGTTCAATTATACTAAAAGCAGTATTCAATTTTAAAATAAGGGATTAATGTCCACAAAGGTGTGAATCAATCTTTTCCAGTTAATAACTGGCCCTTGTGTCCTTTTCATTTGAGTGAAGAATACATCTGTCAGTTGCAAACATTTATCCACCTATTGGCTGGGCTGGACAAAAAAGTCAATTGAAAATGAGGCTAAGAAAAACATGAGCCTAGTCTTATCACATTAACAAGTGATTTTAAAAATTGTTTTAACCTTGTAGTACGTGGTTAGTCATCACCATGTGCACCACTAACTCAAGCTAGATACTTGTTCTTTTGCCAAATAATGTCACTTTAAATGTGTGCAAATATCAATATCACAGTGAAATTTAGGACCTAACTTCTGACAAGGTGTGACCACATGCATGGTAATGAAATTGCATCTGTTCTCTTAAAATTTCTCTTCTAAAGATGCTTTATTTTAGGAGAAATGGAACCCATTTAAGTTTAAAATATCCATTCAAGACAGCTATGAAAAAATAAACTGTACTGAAAAAAATCCTAGCTCTAAGTATATATATGGATTTGTTATTCACTGTAACTCATTGGTAATGTTTTCTAAGGGACTAAATTTTTTAATACATTATGTATGAGAAAGCAAAGTTTCACTGTGTTGTATATTAGGTTAAACCCTTTAAAATAAATACTAGACAGTGAAATTCATCACAATATGCCTTTATTTAACATTTTCCTACAGCTAATGTTCATTTTTTAAAGGGCTGGCTAAGGGCCCAAAGAGGATCATGTAACACTGAAAAAAATCCTAGGTCCCTGGAAGACATTATAGAGACATTCCAGTGTATTTACTTTTTAAAAAATGATATTTGTCAAATTGTTAGCCATCTATTAGACTGTGCACTCTATGAATATACCACCATTTTAGAGTGTTGATAATACATCTTATTGGACTTCCCACTAGCCAAGAGTTCCTGGTAAAATATTTTCCTACCACATAAGCCACTAGTCATCAACCATGTCAAACAACATTTTCAATTTGGATAATGAAATTCTAAGTTGACTGTACTCAATAAATAACAGAGATACATAATGTTAACCATATAATATTTTAAGCATATTTAAATTAAGCTATAAAAGATACAAGAATTTAAGGCAAAACATTTATATTGATCTCATATACATAAATCTATTAACTACTATGTTTTACAAATGCATAATTTTTAACCCAGCCTTCTCCAGTATGGAATTTAATGGCATATATGGAGTAGATATATTTTAAAACTAGGAGCAGAAATCTGCTTTAAAAATATCAAATAAGTTAACATAAGCTCTGTTCTCTTTGATAGATAAATGGAGAAAATATACAAAATATAAAATTAACCATTTTCATCATTTTAAATGCACAGTTCAGTGGCATGAAGCACATTCACATTGTTGTATAACCATGGCCACCATCCATCTTCAAAATCTTTATCTTCCTAAACTGAAACTCTGTACCCCTCAAAAAATAAGTCCTCATTACCCACCCCTGCCAGTGCCAGTAAGTACATTCCATGCTTTCTGTCTCTATGATCTTGATGAATCTAGATACCTCCTATAAGGGGAATCATATGCTATTGGTCCTTTAGTGACTGGTTTATTTGACTTAGCATGATGTCTTCAGGGTTCACCCATGTTGTACCTGTGTAGGAATTTTCTTCCTTTTTAAGCTTGAATGATGTCCCATTGGATGCATCTACCATGAATGCACACTTTATTCAGCCATCCATCAGTGGATGCTTGGGATGCTTCTACGTTTTAGCTATTGTGAATAATGCTGCTATGAATATGGGTGAACAAATATCTATTCAAGTCCCTGCTTGCAATTCTTTTGGGTATATACCCAGAAGTGGAATTTCTGGGTTCTTCGCATATATTTTTAATAAGTTCTCAGCTATACCCACGGGCTTGTTTCATATTTTAAAGGTGATTGTTGCTCTTTTGAGGGACTCAGTATCACTATATCCCTCCCCTTAACGTCTTCACAGTCAACACAATCTCCTTGCCCAGGAAGCATTGATAAGATCTCTTATGAAACAATGGAAGGAGGTTTCTTAAGATGGTCTACCATTCTTGACCTATTTATAAATTCTGAATATTTGTTTTGTTTAGGGACACTGAAGTTTTTGCTTTTGAAGTACCAAAGCTGGAAGAAACTTAAGAAAAAAAAAAAAACCCACAAAACTGGTGTCCATTCCCCAGCCTTCACGTACAGCCTCATCCTGATTCAATGTAACTCTCTTTTATTGAAGGCCTCTACAAGACAAAATTTCAAAGCCTTCCTTATCAATCTCTTCCTATGTTCAAATCCGTTTCAAAAGAAGTTTCCTCATATCTAAATAAAATCTAATTTCGCTGTTACTCTCCCTGCTCTGTTCCTTTGTCAGCCCCCTCTACTCACTCCTTTCCATTCTGAACTCCACATCACTCCCAAAAAGTATACACAGATCTTTGGAAATTCAGTGTTAAATGTCACCTCTTCTTGGAAGTCCTTCCTGATCTTCCAGGGTGGTTATAATTTCCTTGTCTGAAAAAATGGAGGGAAAAATGTCCTCCTTTCATTGATCTGTTGTGAGAACTTGATGTGAAAAAAAAAAAAAAAGATATGCTTAAGCAGTATCTAACGCACATGGTAAGTTTTCAATAAACGTTGGCTGTCCTTACCAATGAAAACAACATTTAATAGAGGATGAAGAACAGTTGCTTCCTATCATTATATTATATTTTTCTACATATAGAAATCATTATTACTTTACCATTTAGCCAAACCATCTTTTTGTTTTCTTTTCTACTAAATCGTATTTTCTTACCTTTTATCTATCCTAAGCTTTCTTCCCTAAATCTTTACTAAATTATTCTCATCTACTTCAGCTTCACAGTCCTAAACTAGAAATTAATTTCCAAGTCTGGGAATGAAAAATGTCAAATACAACTGGAGATGGGAAGAGGAGAGATGCTAATTTAATATTAGTTCATTGTTTGCCATCTTTATAGTGCTTGTTCTCTCATAATGTGTTGACACGATATTATGCTCTTAGCCTCTTTGGCTCACAGGCCTCCCTTGCAAACATGATGAAAACTATGGATCATTACATGCCTCCTAAAAAACACACACACAATTTTACATTAAAATTCTGGACATGTATGAAGCCCCCTGAATGTTCCAGGAGTGTCCATAAATCCAAGATCAACACTGAGTATTGTATAATATAAACATAAAAATCTCAATTGTTCCAGTTTCCTCTGAGATACATCTCAGATTTCTTGCCCCAATATTTTATCCCATTCCACCACTTGCTGTCTATACCTCTTTACTGATTTCCAGTGGTTAAATCAAGGCTGATTTAGCCAAATGCTCCAGATACTACAGAGAGGGATTAAGGGAACAAGATAAGGGATTATGTTTATGTATCGGATATATCACTATCTCTTTTCTTTGCACTTGCATAATCAGTGTTAGGAAACTCCTCTTTAGGCAAAAAGGTAACACAGTAAAGAAATGTTAAATTCTTTAGTGTATTTGAAAATCCTAAACGCAAAAACACTTAGTTTCTGAATTCACATAGTCGCTCAGAAAATGTACTTCAATCCAGTTTCCTTCTAAAAATGGTTTTCACTAGACTACACAAAACTTTGAACTATCCTGGTAGATTTTGTAATGTTTTTGTGAGGTATTAAAATAAATTGGATAACAATCTAATTAAGGTAGACTAAACTTGATTCATCCAAGGGCTTTTACACCAGGGAATAAGATTTCTTTCTAGTCTGTAATATTCTTATACATATATTTGTGGGTAACCTGTCTCATTTGATAGCACAAACTATTACTACTAAGAACAGGAGAAACACATAGGTCAAACTTTCCCTCCAAGATGAGCAGAGCAATTTAATTCTAAGCCCAAAACATTGAGTACCAAAAAAGGTCTTAACAGTGTCTTCTTCTGCTACTTTAATTTTAAACTTGGTCTATACTAAATACAACTTTAACTTCATTTTGGTCATAATTTACCTTATTACATGTTTGATTGGCTATGCCTTATTCTTTGATACTCAGAAAGTGTTCCAGAGAAGTACATGCAAATGGTCAACCATCCCTATTTGTCTACTTGTGTAGATTCAGTAGTTGTAAGTTCTGCTGTGTTGTATATCAGCAGCAACCAGTCAGATGACACCACTACCCCTGAGTAATAGACATAGAGAGTGGTTAGGGACACAAGGTATCAGTGAGTAGGAGCTTGACGATATGAGTGAGAATTTAAGGCAATTGCTTCCAGTCAAGTTGTGGAGTAATTGATGAGCAGAAGGGAAGGAAGAAAAAGAGTGATTGAACAGCAAACGCTGAGAGATCATCTAATTTCACCTGCATTTTCTATAAATGAAACATAAAGTAACTGATTACTCTTAGATTAGTACTGGGGACATGGTTTAGGGGGAAAAATTAGTCATTTGAGATTCAAGAAACCTGAATTCCAGACTTAAATTTGCCATTAATATTAGGCAAGATAGTTTTTCTGTGTCTCAGTTGCCAAAATGTTAAATGAGAGGATTGGGTTAGAATTCCATGATGCTAATCTTTAACGAGGCTGTTTTCATTCCCGGGCTAATACTATTTCATTTGAACATTTACATTCTAAATATGAGCACAGTAAATGGTGGTGTTTATCATCAACTTAACATCAGGAAGTCCTCGTTATAATAATAGTTATAATCATTACTCAATATTAGCTATTACAAGATGGATAATATGATATATTTTAAAATATGTTAAAGTTATACTTTTTAAAGTTATTAAGCAAATTTTTTTTCATTTTTTAACAATAGATAAATTATTCATTTTTTAAAATATATGTAGCTCTTACTGAGTATCACCCACATTCCTAGGCCCTGGAGATAGATCCGTAAGCAAAATAGAAAAGGACCCTGTCCTCAAAGATAGAAAATTGAGAATAAAAACAAATTGAGAATAAATACAAAATCAAGATAATCTCAGAGTGTGATTAATTTCTTTTAAGGAAATAAGAGTGATTTTTATGGGGACTATTGGGTAAATGTGACTGGGGGAGGTGGGAAGATGTTGCTATCGATTGGATGGTCACTTCTAAAAAGGAGAAGTTTGGGCTAAGGGAGAATATCATGAGAATAAACCATTTCTGCTGAGAGGCACAGAGATAGGAAGGTACAAAAGTTATGTAGAAGGAATGATGTTGCCCTTCAAAGAACAGCAAGAAGGCCTGTGTGGCCTAGTATGGGATAAAGTCTGAGGGACAGGCAAGGGCCAGCTTGGAGAACAAGTTAAAAGTTTCCACTGAAATATTATTAAAACCCAGCTGACTATAGATAATGCTGCCTTCTGTGAAATGGGAATGTGGGGAGAGTGGTATGTACTCAGGTGTGTGTGTGTATGCGTGCATGTGTGTGATTTGGACATGACTATTTCTTAAGAGAGTCGAATAAAACTTTTCTGTGCATCTCACTTCCTTGTACAGAGACTGGCCAAGGACAGAGAATGGGTAGAACCTGATGTAGAAGTTCAGAAGCACACTTAGTGAGTCCTCATACATGACTGGGAAACTTAGAGCTGAGTTTGGGGTTGGTTAGAGAAAGTGGAATTATCCTAAAAAGGAGAAGAGGGTGTCTGGTCCAGGTGACCTATGGCTACAGGCCAACATATTTTTAAGTAGAGAAATCACCAATATTCAAAATTTTGTGTCATCGCTAAGTAAACGACTTTAGTCTTGCCAAACTTTCAGTAAAGTCAGGGACACGGACAGATACTTTTTGTTAGAATTGCTTTTTTTGAGGGAATCAAGGAAGATGGCTGAGTTCCATGTTTGAACTGATGCAGAGCAGTAAGTATGGAAGTGATGTAGGAGTGAGAGTCGGAATCCTGTGGACTCTGGCACTTGAGGCCGGAAGAAACCATGAAAACACAAGTCCCCCAGAAATCTCAGGGAGAACGTCAGCTGCATGGCTTGAGCTGGCTGTAAGTTATAGAAGTGTTCACTTGTGCATTCATTTTCAGTATCTCACCGCTGTGGAGTCTCTTGAAGGAAAAGAAAGTAATTGGAAGAGGTAGAGAAAGAGAGAGAGCACGCAACTTTTTTCTTAGAAACTGTAAGCACCCACAATGCCAAAACATCAGTTTGGTGAGGAAAAACAAGTCAAGTTAGTCGTTTAATATGGAGAGTACTTAAATAATTGGCTGGTTGACTAAGTTTTCACTTCCCAGCAGCTTGCTTTGTCATAAAAGAGACAGAGCTCAAACATAAATATTTAAGAGTAGAAATACATTCATTTTATTCCCAATTCTGAGACATTCATAAACATGTTTCAGTTTTATCAGCAAGAATCCATGTGAATGACTTGTCCCATTTGCTCTGGGATTCTGGAGTTTTAAGTGGGCCAGGGTTTATCGAAGTGTTGAAAGATATTATAAAGCACTTACAAGTATTCAGCTAGTCAGACCGCTCAATTAGCTGAACATTTATAACCTCAAAATTTTGACAGAGCATGATTCATGTAGGAATGACCCCTTGGACAACAGATGGCTTTATAGTAGGTATGCTTGAGAGAAAGCACACAAAGCAATGTGATCTGAAGGAATAAAAACGGAACATATAGAGAAAGTAAAATTGAACTTAGAAGCATGGATTGTACTCTTAAATAAAGGAAATTGTTGAAAAATGTAGATGATATATTTTTAATGATGGCGGTTTTTTAAATGTTTTATTTGAGAGTGTTTAAGACAATCATTTATGGGACATGCCACAAAAACAAAATAGACCAAAATTAATATCTAATTAGTATCTAAGCAACCCACCCTAACTCAGATTATAAATCTAAATTAAGTATTTAGAAAACAATAAAAGTAACAGGGTTTGGGGAGTAAGAACCACCATGTCAACCAAAAACCTAAATCCACAGCATTTTAATTTCTTGTTTTTTTCTTTTTTTCCTGTAGTTGTTGGATGCTTATATTCTGGAAAGTATTCTGGATAAGCATTAATTCAAAGGCATATTTTAGGATGATATTTTTACCACCAAAATATATCAAGTTTTGATTAAGAGGGTTTTATCAGTTTTTAAAGGAGAATCAAAGGTGATGTAAATAAAAACATATACTTTCAAGTATCTGCAGTATTTCTTAAAACTGAAGTTAATACTATATAGAAATTCACTTTGGAGAAAGAAACATCAGATCCCCAAAAATACTTGATATGAATCCATGGAACAAATGCAAAATGTCCCTCTCATTTGGAGCCTATTATGGTACACATTATACTGGTATAACTCTTCTTTCCTTTCCTTTCCTTTCCTTTCCTTTCCTTTCCTTTCCTTTCCTTTCCTTTCCTTTCTTTTCC